ATGTTCCAATTTATACGATTTAAATAAATAAATGTTATTTAATCGAACGTAGGTAGCTTAATTGACGAACAGAAAAAAAATACCAAAAATAAGATAAATAATTAAAACCGGGAAATTCGGAAAATCCTGTTCAACATTTCGCTCGTTTATTTTTCCGGACCATAGACATTACACGATAGAGATCGCAAATTTTCATATAAACTCGTTGAAAATGATTTTTTCTACTTATTACAAAGCACCACTTTTTTTAACGATGCCTATGTACAGGGTGTCCCAGAAATAAGTGCAAGTATTTTAACTGGTAGTATAGTTCAACCCCAGAAAAAAAAAATTGAAAATTCGAAATTTTTGAGAAATTTTTTGGAAATTCTTTTAGTTTTAAGTTAAAAAAACATAATTTCTTGATAATATATGGCAACGTAAATATTAGATTAAATTTACAAGAAAGGAAATCTTAAAAAATTTTAAGTAGTTGAAATTCATAAATATATTTTGAATATCCTGTAGCATCTAACTGAAATATCTTTACATAGTATACTTTTTCTATATCTCTATAGAATTCTCCTACCAAATTTTAGTTATCCAACTTCAGAAACAATGGCATCACTGACAATTTTTTACAATTTTTTACGACGCTGCAATCTAAAATTTGTTTAAATAAAATTAAATATTACTAAAACTATTTATTTTAGCATTAACATTATAATATATAAAAAAGTTACGGAATTTTACGCAGAATCTGAAAATAAAATAAAAAATAGGGTGTTGCATTTAAAAAAACCATTTGTTATATTTGCCACACTTTTTTGAAGCACCCGGTATACTCTATAATAATTTTAGAATATGTATCTTAACCGTCCTTAAACTTCGAAACAAATGAGATAATGAACTTTACTCTATCGTTGATTCATACCCTGTACAACAGAAAAGTGTGTACCGGGTGTTGCATCGTCGGACGGGACATAGGAAATCCCATGTAAATTTTAATGGGGTCAATTATTGGGGTCCCTAATTATTTTAGAGAATAATTCTATTTAGGTTTATAGAAGAGCACTAAAACCCACATTCAAAAGAATAACTTTAGATAATTTTGATTAGCTCGTTTACGAGTTATCGCCGATTTCTTTTTAAATATTTCTCCTTTCTTATGGCTCTGTATTTACTTATGAGCACCAGTCAAGGTAAAAGATAACTGTCAAATGAAGTTGTCATTTCAGAAATTTACCTATTTAGTGCTTTATTATTATTGAAAACTCATTCCTACATCGGAAATCTTAAAGATGTATTTATAAATACAAATTAATATGAATTAAAGTAATCAATTACAAGGTTAATTATAGTATTATTACAATATTCAATAACTTATTAATTTACGTACTATTAAGTTGTTAGAACTTTAGGATTTAAGAAGATGTTCAAATATTCCTCCATCGACTGCTAGACAATAACCCAGGCGATCATAAAATTCTCTTCTTACATTCGCTAGTTAGTAAGCTGAAATTCTATTGCATTCGGCAGAAATAGCATTTTTTAACTCGTCTAGATTTGTGTATTTTTTATCCTTGTATTATCCTGTTTCTTAAATGGCCCCAGAGAAAAAAATCATTTGGCGAAATATCAGGAGACCTTGCTGGCCAATTTACTGTATGATTTAGGCCAATAATGTTTCCGTTAAAACTATTGTCTAAATATTCCCGAACAGCCAGGGTACTATCTGCCGGGCAGCCATCCATTTGGTACCAGACTTCCTGATTTTCCCTAGCGGCATCATGTAAAGCAGGTAAAATATGATTTTCGAGTAGTTCCAAATAATATTCTGCATTTAAATTTAGCGTAAGTAATAATGGCCCGATAATATTGTGTCCCAATATCCCTGCCCAAACATTTACTTTCTGTGGATATTGCGTCCTTGTTTCGACAAACCTGTGTTGGTTTTCTTTGTTCCAATATCGATAATTTTGAACATTGGGTTCATTATTTAAGGTAAACGTGCATTTGTCAGTGAAACATATGTTTTTTAAAAATTCCCTATTTGTTTTTGCTTTTTCCATCATATCAAAACAAAACGCCTGCCGCCGTATTTCGTCCCCATCTCGTAACTCTTGGTGCTTTTCATATTTGAAGGAATAGTATTTATGTCGTTTCAAAATTCGAAACGCTGTAGTGTGATCTATTCCTATTTCATCCTCAAGTAAAATCTTAAGTTATTAATGGTTTTTAAATTTAAACTGAAAACCGCTATCGTCGTTATAAGTCTATCTACTATCCCGAACGTTGATGATCAATCCACGTTTGAATTCCTTCACTGCCTAAGCTGGGGGTTTCACGATTTCAATGTTTAATTACAAACAGTAATTCGAACAGTTTAAGAAGACAAAATTAAATAGATCGAAATCCGAAGTAAAGATATTCATTTCCTCGCCTTATATTTAATTTAATTATCCAGCTGGAATGGCAAAGCAAACGGTTGGCGGTTTGCTTGAAAACGTAACCCAATTTGTTCGTAAAGATTGAGTTTAGAGGCTTGTGAAATATTTTTTGGGAGTAAACTGATATCAAATTATGTTGTAACACATATCTGACTTTAATGGCTTTTATATCATTTAGTTTGAGCATTTTCGGTTAAAACAAAAAATTGCATGATGTTTCAGAAGATTGTCGAAACTCTATTAAAAAGATAATTTTACAAATATAAGCTAAAACAAACCAGATTTAAATCCAGAACGACACAAAATAAACTTATTCTTCGCTAATCTTTCTCTAAAAATACCCTAATGTATTTTTACCTAATTATATAAACAGCTGTATAAGTAGAGTAATCAAAATTTATAATCCTCCAGCCAGAGTTTGGGAAAACGCAGAACGTAAAATAAAGATAGGAAAATTAAACAAGGCGAATTTCCATAATAGATGTTATTTTAAACACCGATTTACATTTTCCAGGGTTTTGTAGGAGTTGGCAAAGAAAAACTAAAGCTAAGAGAAAACTTAAAGTAAGAATTATTTATTAAACAAAACTAGCAAATCTAGTTTTTACTTTTCTTGTTTGTTGTATTTATAAAAATGTAAAGGTAGCCACAGACGTGCAGTTTTGTCTCAAGGCAAAACTATACTGTCGAGGTCATGAGGATTTTTCCTTGATTGAATATGTTCAGGAAGATCTGCACAGTTATTTTTAATGGAAATTTTTCGAAAAGGATTTTGTGGACTATACATGCTTTAAAAATATGGTTAAGAAATAAAATAAAATAATTTGTTATATTAATAGATGAGATAAGCCTACTCTCCTACAAAAATAAACGCATATTTGTCATTTTACTTCATCTATATAATCATAAATTTAATCTAAAATAGTCTCCTATAAAAAAATAAATCTTGATTGCTCCTAAATATAACTTGACGTTGTTTATCAAGAGATTATAATTAATTACTTCAAAAACACACTGTATTGATGCTATAGAGTTAATTAAGGGTTATTATACTATCCTAGAACAACGCACTGTATTCCACTTTTCATCCTCTTTACTTATTTTATCCCCTTTCACACATAGGGACACATTCAGGGACAATAATTAAGGTCTAAAAGTTGAGTGCCCTTAATTGTTTTTATTCTAAAATAACAGGGAAAGGTCCCAAGCTTTAGGCAAAAAAAAAGATTTGGGTTTTTGTTATGGTTGTTATTTTCAGGACCTTTTTAGGTATCTAGCCCTCTAAGGTTTTTTTACATGACTGTTCTAATTTTAAAGGAACTGTCGTTTAAACAATTTAATATGCTTCTTGTAATTGATTTTATGTATATTTTTAATTGTCATTTAAAATTCTTCATTATTTTCTAACTGATTTAACATTTTAACAGTAAAAAACGATAGGATGTTTCTCTGAGCTTAGTTGGGTAGTAATGCTAACAAGACATAGTGGAAATTTAAGCTTGGAAACTGTCTTCATCCCTTTAGTAAATAGGGTTAATGCCAAAGTACGAGTTGTATTTGTTCGGAATATCCAAACTCTGGGCATATACGCCGAATACCAAGTGCCCTCCAAAAGTTCTTATAGTGCAAAATCAGCTCTAGAAGAATAAAAAAACTATGTGACAAATCGGATAAAGATAACTGAATTCTAAACTAAATAAAAAAACGTTTCTTGGCAAAACTATTTGTTTTTTTCGCAACTTGGAAAAAAATCTAGAATATAAAAGAATTATTTTTCGTAAAAACTGTTATCCTTGTTTATATATTAACTATACTGTTTATATAATAGGGCTGGCATTTCTGGTCTTGAGTGCCGATTTTCGTGTGTATGAAGAGTTTGGTCAACACGCTTAGCAAAATAAGATATACTGAAAAAAGACAGAAGACCAGTTTTTTTGTCAAGCGCATGGAATCTATCCTCAGATTAAATGATTATGTAATAAATACTTCGTATTTTTGCTCTCTCCGACTTACTAGATTGCCATAGCGATTCACTCCTACATATGTAAACGCCGACCCAAGGTTTCGCTTGCCGGCAGGGTATATAACTCACGCTCAATAACTAGTTAATATATAAACAAGACTACTACATTGAACTGACTTGTTATTACTATCTAGTAAAACAAATTTCTCAGGACTTAGTACCGAGAAATATCATAGATTCTCCTTGATTTAAATAAGAACAATCTTCGTATTGTCATGAGTTTTTTGACAGAGCAGCCTCCTCAATTAACACCTCAGCAGATTGATGCTAAGAAACAAGAGCGAATACAGATTCTGTAGGGAAAACGGTGAAACAACAGAGCACCTCATCACTGAGTGCGCCGAGACGACAACCATTGTAAAACCGTCTTTGATACTGGCTTTTATTAAATTCCAAAGACTGTATAATGAATTATAACTCAAAAAAGTAGACACAACAGATCTTATAAGGTATCTCTGATCAACTTCCTTCCTCCCACACTGTTTACAATCTACTTCTCAATTAACAGAGGCATTTTCTTATTAAAACCAATGAATTTCTGTTTACAGGGTGTGCCAAACTAATCGAATTCGAGCCCTTAAGGTCCACAGAAGTCCGATTGCCCGGAGGGGCAGTGTTCGTGATCGCGCACAGTTTGTCCAGCTTAAACAAAGCGGCAACGGGGGATTTCAATTGTCGAGTGGTCGAATGTAGACTGGCAACACAGGTGAGATCATTATTTATTGTTCTTGATTAAAGGGTCAAGTAAATCAAAGTAAAAAAAACAATGTCTTTTTTCCTGTAATAAATTATTGTATAAGTTGAATGTATATTTTTAAGGGTCTTAAAAGAAGTACTTTTAACATTTCTTTATAGAAATTAATATTTTTAAGACTGGCTTTGACTGAAAACGTATACAAACCTTCGTGAAGCGTTTATCTGACAAGGTAATTAAGGGTTTTGGCGCTTCGGGATTTATGTTTTGGTCTGATAACACCTAAAAATTTAATTAGAAAGGGTTGAAGTGAGGTAAAGTGTTAAATACCGGTGAAAAAGGGGTTTGTTTGTATGTTTTCTCATTTATTTCGTTTATTTTTAGCGATGTGAATTAATGATATTCAAACATAAATGTTTTAGAACATAGAAATATCAATTTTTGGAAATTTAAGATGTTTTTTACTGTAATTTTGAATAGTTTTGATAGACTAGATTTTTTCAGATCTATTGTGGTCCTGTCCTGATCTCTGGGTTACATTCTCCGGTCCTATTTCTCTCAAAAAACTAACAATTTGGAGATTTCTCCAAAAAAGTCCTATGGGTATTTCGTCACTGTAAGAAAATTTACAAAATAAAAAAAAATTGGAGATTGAACTGTAAATCGATAATTGTAATTTCTCCACGTTCAAGACTGTTCTTGTAACTACTCTCTTGTAGTGTTGTCTATGGACATTTACTAACATTTATTATAATTTAAGTTATCTGTGTATTGCCTAGAATTTTTGGGTTAAATATTTAGAATACTTTTTATTAGTACTACCCTTGTTTCTCTGATTCCAGATAATAGCACATCGTAAAGGACTGGATTGGAGAACCATCAGACGTTTCGGTGAGCTCCAAAAAGCACTGGGTATAACACTGGACGAACTCACAGCTCTTACTAAAGAAATACTACACGAGGAGGCTTACAGTAAGGAGGAAGTTATCAAGGAGTTGAACACTACTTCTACTGAACTGGATGAAGTGTCCCTGACTCCAAACACTCAACACTTGCAGAGTTTTAAGCTGTACCAAAGAGCGTTACACGTACTTAATGGTGAGTGGACTAAGATTTACTGTACAGGGTGTCCCATTTTTTATATTTTTTATAATTTTGGAGACCCTGTAGTTCAGAAACGAAGAGGGCTATGAACATTTTGTTTGCAGCATGTTTCATTTGACGAAAAAGTGGGACAGGTTTGTGCAAACCGCACCCTTCTATCTTCACTAATAACGGAGATACCCTATGATTTCAACCAAAATGGGACACACTGTACTTTAAAGTTGTATAAAGACAGTTTTTGATTTGATTACTTCTTAAGATACCTTTTCTCTTTTGAATATAATATATTTATTTATATACTCATTTAGAAGTCAAAAATATCTGTAATTTTAGATATATTTATAAAAAAAAACAAGCATTTTAAGCATTTCTCATACAGTTTTCCAAAAAAGTTCGTTTTGAAAGATATTCCAAATAAAATTAAAAGAAAACAATAAAATAAAATAATTACCAAAAATAGTTTCCCATTTCTCGTTTTACTTCGTGTTTGAAGCTGAATAAAAATAGCTGGAAGATACAAAAATGCATTACAAGCAATCTGACCTCCTTTTTCATGCAAAAACGACACATTCCTATGCAGGTTTGCCTCGTTAACAGACTAGTTCGCACTTTAGCCAAAGACTTTGCAGCATCCTCACCCTCCTCTACTTATTTTCTCTTTTTCGAAACAAGACGTTGTGCTACTTTAAACACTCCACCTCCCCCTAGAAGGTGTCCTCCTTTCTAATCCTATCCCCTCACTTCCTGGAGTCTGTCTCTATTCGATTGTGTGTTTTTTTCGTTTTTTTTTGTCCTGTTTTGGATTTCTTCCTTTATGTTTTTAAATTTAAGTAATAAATAAATAAATAAATAAGGCTTTATTGTACAAAAAGTCAAAATAGCTTCATCGACAAAGCATTTACAAAACAAACAAAAGCGCAAAAAATATACAATACAAATACAAAAAAATATACAATACAATTCAAAAAAATGAAGTCATTAAAATTACAAATGAAATATTAAATACTACTAAACTTTTAACCAGTGTGTGAGATGATCAAAATTTTAAAATTCAAAATTGTTCATGATTAAACATCAACAAAAAAGTCGTTTACCGCATATAGGGCAATCTCCAGTAAGTATGATTTCAGAGCTTTGCGAAATGCGGGAAAGAATGAAAGCGAATTGGTATTCAAAGGCAGATGATTGTACATTTTTTGGCATTGTACAGTATTGAGTCTTCAACTAGTTCTGAGCTCGGGGTTGGTAGATAAAGATAGTGCTCCGCATTCCTAGGAGGATAGTTCTGAGATGGCCTTTCGGGAATAGCAGATAATATGTCCTTCCGGATTAAGCAAACGGATTCAAAAATGAATAAAGAAGGAAGAGTCAGTATTTTGAAATTTTTAAAGAAATTCTGGCAGTGTGAGTTCTACTGTTCAGTACCAATAAATATCGAACTGCTCTCTTTTGAAGTTTGAAAATACGATCAAATTTTGTTGCGCAGCAAGTACGACAGAATGGAAGGGCATAACAAAGATGTGACTCAAAAAGGGCATATTTCTTGTTTTATACAGGGAAAAATAATTATACTAAACCCCACAGTTGGTAATTCACATTGTACTCGTTGAAATTTAAATAAAATTCAATATTACAAATTCTAGCACTACTAACTATATTTTTTGACCAAATTTGATCTAAAAAAAGATTGTATAAAGAATTTAGAACATGTATATAGCGTTGAATGAAGGAAATTCTTTATTTTTCTTGAAGTTTAATGATTGTTGAATGATGGCAATCGGGGTTTAAAATAAAACAAATATTGAAGCGAATTTATTGCTATTAAATGGCGTCACAGCGCTGACGTATATTTAAATATTTGGAATAATTGGAGCAGGAATTTGTTCAAATGAAAATAAATGAAAAATCTAGAAAAAAACTGATGATAAAAAAGTGTAAATTGTTATTTTTGTGGGATTATCTTAACTATAACAAATTTCAAAATAATGATATTATTTAAAATAATTTAGTTATTAGGTAGGTACCTATTTTAGACAGTTGCGTAATTACATCTACTTATTACACTGGGTAGCAACCAAATGTATCTCAAGTAAAATCAACAAAATCTTAATACTTTGGGTATGCTAAAACTGAAAGTGAAGTTATAAAAAATATCCTGAGAAACGAATATTTTGATAGCACGTTAACATAGAAATATTAAAAAAAAAGCTTGGAATGATTTTTACAACTAAGATTTTAATTTCGTTGTTATTTTCGTATTCAACACCCCAAAATTGCTAAGAAATATACTTTTTAAACAAGTAGTACTATAAATAAACTAAAATTTGTTGTTCAGTGTTATTATTACATATTTTTTTCCTAATTTCAGAAGCTAGAAGGGTGGAGAAATTTCACAAAGCATGCAAAACCTCAGCGGGAGGTGAGGACTCACTGGTTACCCTTGGTAACCTCATGAGTCAAAGTCACCAAAGTCTCAAAGATTTGTACGAGTGCAGTCATCCACAACTGGACAGGTAAGACACATCAGACGATGTTTTATATTTGGTCATGGCTTGCTTCTTCACTGTCTGAAAATTATGATGATGATGAAAGTAGATATCCATTTATATTTTGATATCATTCTTACAATCTTACACATACACTTCTTCTTCTTCTTTCTCAGCCTGGTTCCATCCAGTGTTGGATATAGGCCTCTTCTAGGTTTTTCCATGCTTCGCGATCTCTAGCCAATCTTATCCATTGTCTTCCCGCCACTGCCCTCACGTCATCGACCCATCTCTTTTTTGGTCGGCCCACACTTCTTGTTGTTCCCCTAGGTCTCCATAGGATTGCTTTTTGGAGCCATCGGTCTGGATCCTGTCTTGCCACATGTCCTATCCATTGCCACTTCAGACTTGCCACTCTTTTAACGACATCTATTAATTTTGTTTTTTGACGTATGTGGGTATTTCGTATTTTTTCCCTAATGGTGACTACCAACATGATTCTTTCCATGGCTCTTTGTGCTACTCGTAGTTGTTCTGCTGTTTTTCGGGTAATTGCCATAGTCTCTAAGCCATACGTAAGCACAGGTAGAATGCAGCTGTCGTAAGCTTTTTTCTTTAGGTTCATTTAATAATATGTAGTAAAATGAAACACCCTTCGGAAACTAAATTAGAACCAGAAACGACAAAACTAATAAGGGAAAGAACAAAGACTGACAGAGATGCCCCAGAATAACAGACACCTTAAATAAAACAACTAAAAGAGAAATAAGAAAAGATCTAAGGGAGTATAAGAGAAACCAAATTTTGGAAACAATTGAAAACAATAGAAGCATGAAAGTGTTAAGACGCAAGTAAATGCGCGTAAAAAATAATAAAGATGAGAAACACACATGGCATTATAACAACAGACAAATATGAAATTAGAAATGAAATACACAAATTCTACGAACAACTTTATCAGTCTGTTATACCAAACAAAGATAGAGTACAAAAACACATCACAAACGTAGGATCAGAAGATATTCCAGAAATATCAACCACAGAAATTAAATACGCACTTCAACAAATAAAAAATGGAAAAAGCCCAGGAGAAGATCGTATTACACCTGAAATGCTGAAGATGGGCGGAAAACCATTAGTGGATGCCGTGGAAGTATTGTTAAATAAATGTCTGATGGAGGGTAGAATCCCGGACGCATGGAAAAACGCAGAAGTTGTGCTATTATACAAAAAAGGAGATTTTACAAATATAGAGAATTATAGACCAATAAGCCTTCTCTCGCATCTATACAAGCTCTTCACTAGGATTATCAACAACCGACTGTCTACGAAACTAGATTCCTATCAGCCAATAGAACAGGCAGGCTTTCGAAAAGGTTTTAGTACCATCGATCATCTACAAACAATTAAAACAGTCATTGAAAAAACAACAGAATACAATATACCTCTACATTTGGCCTTTGTAGACTACCAAAAAGCCTTTGACAGCATCGAAACCTGGTCATTTCTAGCTGCAATGGAGGACGCGAGAATTGATTCCAGATATTATTCCATTATTAAAAATATCTATGATAGTGCAACCTTCCAAGTTAAATTAGATGATGACCTCAAAACAGAAAAAATACCACTCGGCAAGGGCGTGAGACAAGGAGATACCATCTCTCCCAAGTTATTTACACTGGCACTGGAAAATGTCTTCAAGAAATTAGAATGGGAAAATAGAGGTCTAAACATCGATGGGGTACACCTTAGCCATCTGAGGTTCGCAGACACATACACACATGGCCAAAATTGTTGCATATAACGATATTTTTATTTTATTTTGGACCTAATATGATTCTTTTTATATTTTTGGACATATTGGCTTACTACACGACTAACTAATATAAAATTAAAAATCTAAGTGCAACTAGGCTGTTATTATAATTTTATTTCATAATGAGTGAAAATCCACAAAAACAAATTTCATTTTAAACAGAAAATATTGAAAATAATTTTAATTTTTTCTCACAACTAACAGTCTGTATTGCCTCCTCCAGCCTCAATGCAAGCTGTGAGATGACGTGGCATGCTCTCAATTAAGTTGTCCAGAAGATGTTGAGGAATGGCTTCCCATGTTTCGCGCGCAGCAATTTTCAATTCATTTAAGGTACGGGAGGAATCATTCCTTTTGGCAATATGGCGTTTTAGCATGTCCCAAGTATACTCGATCGCCACAGTTTTAGTACTAGACAGTACTAGAAAGCATGGGATTGCGTCGTGCAATTAGGGATATTTGACTGTCTTGCACAGCAGTAGTAACTCTCTTTCTACCTTTTCCAGGTCGGTCTGTAACCGCGTTTGTCTCCCTGAGTTTTTTTAATATTCGCGAAACATCGCTTTGGTTAACTCCTACAATTTCAGCTGTTGCAACTTGCCGGTAGTCCTGTTGAGACAGTGTTACTATTCTGACTCTATTAAACTGTGAAATAATGTTTCTAGGCATTTTAAGGCCAAAACAATGGTCAAATTTCTTGTAAAACCCGATAGACCACAAATCGAAATGTGCAAGAATTTGTAATAATATTGGGTCTGAATGAGTGTGTATTTTTTCTTGCCTGTTTTAACTAATGACACAAAAAACATGACTGAACTACCTTTAAACGTCTTTAGTGTTTTTATATTAATCTGAAGAAGATTTCAGGACATAAAATGAACTTAGTACGTCCCCAAAACATAATTTAAACCAAAATTTACCGCACAAAATGTCGGGTAACTCAGATATAATTCATAAACCCTTTTCTTTGGACACACTCCTCTGTTCCATCTCTAAGTAGCACTTACCAAAACTATAGGACTTTCCAAATTAGTCTTTTAGAGGCAGAGAAACATTCGACATAGGAAAGCGGCTTTAAAATTTTAAGCCTTTCCAGTCTCCTTCACCAACCGAAAGTTGTCTTCACAGAAATGTTAAAGAAATAGAGATGGAGTTCTGAAAGCATTTCCGTCACATTCCTATTGGGAAATCTTACAAGTTATTCTTGGAGTACTTAAAGTTTTAACAGAGCAATCGGAGCCAGCGAAATTGTGCACTTAAAGTTTAATTTAAAAGTTAAATTAAAGTTATTATCGGGATTTAATAAGTAGGTTTCGTTTAGAGATAGTTCCTTATTAATTTATTACATTTTGATTATTTTTTAGTTTACAGTTTTAGTTAAAGTCTTTAAAAAATTGTGTGTACACTTTGTGGGCATATTTGAAGCGAACTTACATATATTGTATATCCACAAAAAATGCGTGGTTCAGCGAGACGCCCCGAGACATTGCACAAAAATATATATATAAATATAATATATAATATATAAAAAAACACACCAATATAATTTTGCAGTACATAAATACAAAAAAATAAAAACAATCAGGTGCTCAACGAGATAAATTTAATAACACTTTTGGGAAAATTTAGGCTTAAATCCAATTTAAAACCGACCTGAAAGTCGAGAAAATAAAAAAAAAACAGTGAAATGGACAAAATTAAAATGCATATATTAGGTTCAAACAGAAAAAGATAAATCCGCCTGTCATTATTTTTGTTTTCATTGTATTTTTGGTATTTTATAGAAGCATACTCATCTACGCTTTGTTTTTTTGATCCTTGGCTGTTACGTCACAGATTACCATTCTACAGGGTTGTTCACCACATACGACACGGAGTATTGTAGCTAAACGATGAGATTTTTACAAATTGTAAGTTTTGGGTTCGATAAAGGACTATTAGAGGTACAATTTAAAAATAATTTTACAAGATACAGAGTGTCCCAAAGAAGTAAAAAATATCAAAGTTGTATTTTCTTAAATGGAACACCCTGTATATTATTACATTTTTAGTTTCTACGATTAAAATAAAGGTAAATTTGATTAGGGTTTATTATACTTAAACCTTAGCGTTTTTGAAATATTTTCAATTTTGTGAAATTGCAGTAAAAATGTTAACGCTTCATTTCTCCAAGGGTATCAAAGTTTTTAATACTAAATATTTACTGAAGTTTATTTACTGATCAGTTATTGTGTTGCAATAATAAAAATAATACTACCTTATACAGAGTGTCTAAAAATTTATTTTAAATAATTATTAGCTTCAAACGGCAATAACTTGTTTAATTTAAATGGAACACCCTGTATATTTTACGAGAATCAGATGCACAATTTAATTGTCTATCAAATTATATTATACCATTTTTTACCTATCTCTTTAAGTTTCCGTAGAAAATGCATTTTCTTGTAATTTAGAACTTATTTATCAATATACCCATGGACTATTGACATTTTAGATTATTTTTAAAGACGTACCAAATTTTTAAAGAGTACAGATACTAATATTGTCGATATAATTCGTTTATTTCATTAAAAAATAAAAAAAAACTGTTTAAATATTTGTTAAAGAGGATCAATTAACATGATTCCAGTATTCAAACTACATTAACTGACTGTTTGCGTTGATTAATAATAATTGCTCCAAATACTAAAAAACTGAATTTTGTATGGGCATTCGACAGTGTGATAAAAAGTAACAACTTAAAAATGATATTTAATTTTTTAACAAATGTTTATTTATAACAACAGAGACTTTAATTTGATAACTTATTATTATATTGATTTCTGACTCAAATCCACATTTATTTATAATAATTTATTAACGAACACAATTAAGTATGTAATTAATTAGTATATGGGCGGAAATAATGGTGTTATATTTAATTAATGGTATACTCTTTTATAAAGATTTAAATAGTTTTCTTTTTGCATACAAATGGGCTAGTAATATTATCGTTTTGCTAAAAACGATAATATTACTAGTCTGTACATTTTGTACATTTGTTGCTTTAAAACAATCTAAACTGTCAATATTCCATGGATATATTGATAAATGAGGTCTAAATTATAAGAAAATGCATTTTCTACGAAAACTTGAAGGGATAGGTAAAAAATGGTATAATACAATTTGATAGACAATTTAATTGTGCATCTGATTCTCCTAAAATATACAG